CACCCCCCCCCCCCCTACCCAATTTCCTTTTTTGAGTTCTTTCTGTCCTTAAGTTTCTGTTTTCATTGTATTGTACATTGTTATATCGTTCCCTTCTCTCTGTTTTCCTATGCATCTCCGTCTCTTTGTGTTTTTTATATTTTTCATCTCTCAAAGTCTATGTTGCTCAAAATCTAAGCTATTCAAACGTCACGAAATTCCTACCTCATCATTTTGATGCAGTTTGATCATCATTACATTTATTAATTTTTATCTCCCCTTGCTCTTCTCTCTGGTTCCTCTTTGGATTTTGTTTTCATTCCGTTGTACTTTGGATGATTCTCAATTTTTTGCTCAACAGACAAGTACCGTATACCAAGATTTCGTCCCAGCTTTATTGTTTTATATGAATAAAAATGCATTGTTTAAAAAACTGTCATGAGAACTATAAGTATTGTTAAAACTGAATGGGAGAGTATCTTTCAGGGTTAGGGGGACTAGAAAAAGTAGGTCAGTGTGGTCGGATTGGGGAAATTTGGTAAGGAGACTGGACAACAAGTAAAAACCTTAACTTTCACAAAATAACAGGTGGAAATGAACGGATTACAATAAATATTTGATGATTATAGGGCAAATATTACAAAAAGAAAAAAAAAGGTAAAAGTATGTTATTAGCCGCAATGTTTAACCACAATGGAATGGCCCATTTAGAAGCATCATCTCATCCAGAACTTGGTCCACGGTTGGATTATCAATTTTCTCGAGCTGAAACTTATTTAGCTCGGTATAATCAGAATTTCGGACGTATTTAAACTCACCGCAGCATGTTCTGAAACAATTTTATATAGAGATTCTGAAGATATGGATTCTTGCGCAACGCTTCTGGAACGTGGATTTGGGGCGTTAGTGGTGGGCGTGCAAATGGGTTGAATCTTCCGACGATTTTGAATGGTGAATGTAGACTGTGCCTGATGCCTGGTCCACCTTTCAAGGGAAAACGAGGATATGCCAACATTTTGGTAGATTCAAAGCAAGCAATTGGAGCTGGAAGCCCCGAAATATGCTGGAATATTATATGGATTTTTTATTAATGAACTCTGTTAAATTACAGGTTTCTTTCTCTCAGCAAATCGGACCTTTCGAACCACATCGGTTCTTGCGACTTTTTGATTTTTTCGAATGATAATGTCAATTATTTGTTCGAAGTAAGCATTGCGTCGACAAGCAATGACCTTCTCAATGAGACGATGGCGTCTGGCCAATTGTTCAGTGTCTTAAACATTTTATGCCAGTATACTTTCAACGACACATATCGAACCTGAAAAGAAAAAATTATCTGTATTCCGAAAAGAACAATTTTGCTGTTTACATTTCTTCCTTCGGTCAAATCGTTGAGCAAGAGAATGAAACGCCTCTCATTGAAATCTCCGGCGCTCTTTGGTTGAGCGAGCATCATGATTGGCTGAAATTTTTGAGAGTGGATGACATTTGAATAGAGAGGAGAAGTTCGATTATTGAAAGATGGGCAAGTGATGATCACGTGAATATAGTAGTTAATTCCCCGAATATAAAAAAGAGGAACAGAAAAGATGTCTAGCGATAAGGAGAGAAAAAAGTGAAAGTTAAGACAAAAGGTCGAAACACTACAAAGGTGGTGTGTGACTTTCTAAAAAAACTTGCAATTTTTGGCAGGCAAAGTTATCATTATAGTGTCTAGCGAGAAATGTTGTGCTCACCGAAAAGCAAATCAAAACTGAAGTACTTCTGACACCAGCACCTGAAAAAATTTGGGCAAAATTTGGAAACGCTGGCCAGACAGCATAGCAAAAGGGAAAAGTGAGAGACAGGAAAATATTATGAATGGCATGAATGAATCAAATCAAACCATGGATGGTTTCTTTGTAGTTCGTTTTGTCCAAAGAATGAAGAAAAGAGCATCATGAAAGAGGGGAGCGAGCGGGGAGAAAATGATGATTCAACAGCACACAAACTGTTTCATCAACAAGAATTGGCAAAAATAAGATTGTTGCCTAGAGAATACAGACTAAGAAGAGGAAGAAGAAGAAGACCAAGAAGAAGAAGAAGAAGGACGCCGTGCTGATGGTGACGCTAGAAAACGTTTGCTGTGTTATTTTTGCTCCGGTCCGTCTATCGAATGGAAAATGGGAAAGTAGAAAATAGAATTTCAATTCAATATTGGAGAACAAATCATGATAAACAATTTTCAAGGGGCAGAGTAGCATGTTCTATCAAATTGAAACTGTGGCGAGGTAGGAGGGAAATGAAGAACAGCGTAGCTGCATCAGACCGATAAAACTCTAAAAGTGTCATATCAATTCAGAACTTTCTCAAACTGACATGCCGTCGACAGTTCAGGAACTGATCAGCAAAGCGTGACACTTTGTTGTTGAAGTCAAAGTAGAAAAAATTAGGTGAAAAAAATGAAATTGATAGATTGGGTTAAATAGAAAACAATCTGAGTGATAGGGTTTGTTTCATGTCATGAACTAGAAGAAACATGTCCTTCTGACTTGTAGACGAAGTTTAAAATCGTGAGGATCAGAAAACGACCTGAAAGTTGAGGGAACATATGAACCAATCGCACGTAAATAGAAAGTTTAGTGTGCAAGTGCATCATTATCGGGTCTTGTTGTTTTTGTAAGGCACGTCTTTTCACGGCACACCATGAAATTCAGTGGGCAATGTCACACCGAAATAAGTTGCAGAATATTCATTTTCAAAAAAAGGCCACTGGAGAAGTTGTTTTGAAACAAGTTCTCTAAAGCCCTAAAAAGAATCCGTGAAATCTACGGGAAATTTTAAAAATTTTGACAATACGTGCGTTTAATAAGGATAGGACCCCTCTCGATTTGGAGGGTTTTTTTCTGGAGGGTTTTTCCTGGAACCCTCCAAAGGAATTAAAAACTGTGAGACTTCAAACGGACACCACAACTCAATTTCACAAAGTCAAAGTTTTGGTCTTAGGAACAGGAACCAAAATGAGTCTTAAGAAAGAAAAGGAATGGTTTACTTCATGTATTTGGAATATTCCGGAACCCTATTGAAATTTCAGTTCATCAAGACCTCCAAATTTAATCAGAAACTTTTTTACTTATATTTATTCTCAAAATTTCATGAATTTCAAAAATTTAAATATTCAAATTTTTGGTATCAAGAGCAAAACCGTATTTTTGAATCTATTTTAAATATTATTTTCTATTTGCTCAAGTTTTTGACGGTCGTTATTCTTTTTTTCAATGATTTTCACAATTGGATTTTTTCAGGTTTACATTTTAAAAATAAAATGTCCTCGAAAAATCGGTAGACCAAGGAAAAAAAAAAAGAAAAAAAAAAAAAAAGTTTAAAATAGGCTCAAAGAATACGGTAGTTTTCTCTTGTGTCTTAAAAAGGTAAACGAGATCTTCAATCTTTTTTCTCAGACAAGGATAATGGTATCAATAAATTTACAAGTGAATCCCATCCTTGAAAATATCTCAATTACCGACTGAAGATTCCCACACTTTCATTACCACCTTAGTAATGACCTCATCAATCTCATCAAAAACTGCTTGTTTGCTAGCAATCTACAGTTTCTCAACATTTGTTTTAAGTAATGGAATGGGATTCATGTAATCAGTTTGTTTGATAGCGACCCGAAAAATGTGTATAAAATCCCAGTTTTTACTTGATGAACTTTTGTTGCCGCTTTCAAGGTATTCTTTCATTGAATTTTTCGGAAGTAGGAGACCGTTCTTAGTATTTTACATATTTTCAAAAAAATTTTCTACAGTAACCCGCGAATTTTTTTAATGATCATAAAATCTACATTGGCCAATAAAAATCCCATAAACACCCAAATAAATGATTAAAAATTCATAGAATCTCAAGCAATGAAACGTAAGAACTTCTACCTGGATCCCTCCCTCATTGTGTACATTGCGAGTAGCATACCTTTTTATCATTCCTCCTCATTCATCTCAATAGGGGAAGAGGTGAATAATAGTGAGATTCTTCTTCTTTTTCTAGTGCTCTGCTCACCTTTTTTGTATGAAAATTAGAATACAGATTCAGAAATAGTAATTCTGAAAAGAATGACTTCTTCGATTTTTATACTTTCCTATTAGTCGTGTTATCCAAATTTCCATCATTAGAAACAGTCACTCTTGTCTAGTTGTTTTCGTCCCTTGTGACATGCTCCGATCATTGCCTGATTAGATGAAATTATTGGAGCTCTCTTTTTGTTATTCGTAAAATTTACAAAAAAAAACACAATAAGAAGAAAAAAAAATCATTTTTCGTAGATTAGTTAAGCTACACTGGCTGGAGCGCTTTCATCGCTCTGATCCTCATTTTTTAAATTTCCCTTTCTCTAAAAGTCACTGAAGATTATAGTAATTTTTAAGATTCTTCAAAATCGTGCGGACAGACAGAAAAATAGACTCAATTTTATTCGTTCATAAGAATGTTTCTTACTTACTGTAGAAACTGAACTAGAATAATCCGCGTTTTTCTTGTTCTAGGGCAGCTTCAGAGGGCTTTTTGAGCACAAGAAACCCTTCAATTAGAGGGACCCTATAATTTTCACTTTTTTCCTAGATTTCACTCTAAACGTTTTGTCTACACTTGCTCAAAAGTTTCGGAAAATTTTACTAAAATTTCAAAGAAAAACAAAGTACATCACACTTTTTTTTCGAATTTCGGAAACCCCAGCTTACTCACTCGGAGAACCCAGCTTATTCACTCATTTTTTAATTTTCTTAGAAACAACATATATCATTTTCATCCATATTTTTCAGAGGAAAACTTTTAAATATGTAAAGCTTGCAACTACCTCTTCGCTTCTCGATTGTTTAAAAGTAAATTGTATTTTTTGCGAGTTAAAATCATGATTCTAAACATTTTCAGATTTCTACAGTAGCTACAGTAATCCCTTTTTTTTCAGCCCCACATTTTTTACGCAATATCTTTTTTCCATCAATCCCTCACATGATTTACAGAAAATAATTAAAATTATCATAACAATGCATAGTACCTATACACCGGGTGTCACCGGCTCCCACAGTTCCAACAAATCATATTTGTTATGTATTATCTTTCTCCTTTTTTTCTTCTCCTTCTTTCACATTCACAATTTTGTTATATTTTAGCTATATTCCAGGCTTTAACCCTACTGAATCGTGAGCAAACATGAACCAACAATATAAACCGAAAAAACAAAAGAAAGAGAAGTCGAAGTCAAAGGCTCCAAAGCTTCCACAGGTCGAAGTCGAAGGTATATTACAAAAATTTTTTTAAAAAATTATTCAACCTCTTCAATTGCAGCCGATGGTCAAAGACCAAGACTTCGAGGGGACGAAAAGGTCGTCGCTACGACGCCACTAGTATACTCGTGGGTATGTTTGAAACTTATTAGGACATTTTTGAGTTTTCTAAACTTTCAGCAGTTATGTATGTACGAAAAGACGTACTACGATGCGGCGCACTTGCAGTATCCCCACAGGATCTACGAGAAGAGAGACGACGAGAAGTGGACAGAGTTTTTTAAGCGGGTCCAGGCTGAACGCATCAATGCCGAGAAAGCAAAAGAGAAGAAGGAAGCAAAGCACAAAGCAATGTATGACGACGGTAAGTGTGTAAAAAACAAATTTTTATACAGTACCGATCAGTTAGATATACAAAAACATTATTTGCATTTGATTTTCGGCTATTTCGACTATATTCAGAAACCTGGAGCTTGGCTGTCAAGCTTTCGATCACTGAAAAAGAACTGAATAATGCAAAACAGACCTGAAATGCATATCTCGCATTTACCAAATTTTCAAAAATTCCTAGATTTTCAGCTATTTGCCGATTTCTGAAAGACATCCTTTTTGGCCCGTTTTTGTACCCAAAACGGAAAAAATAAATGTCTTTCAGAAATCGGCAATCATATGAAAAACTAGAAATTGTCAAAAACTTCCGTAAAAGCAAAATTTTCAATCTAGGCTTGTTTTGAGCCCTCAAAAATTTTTCATGGGATCTGAAACTTGACACCCAAGCTACAAACTTCTGAAAATAGTAGATTATTTCATACTTGTAAAATTCCAGCCCGGCCCGGGCCTGAGGAAATTTTCAAGGCCCGGGCCCGGCCGGAAGGCCCGGTGTTAAAAATTCTGTATTTTTGAGCCAAATTTTGAGCTCTTAGTATAATTTTTTCCATTTTTTTATCGTTTTTTTTGTATTGTTTGTTTGTCTAATCAAAAAAGATCGCAAAAACTCGAAAAAAAATTTGGTCGAAAAAAAATCACATAAGGGTCCCCCCTTATGTGTTTTTAAAAAATTAAAAAACTAGTGATGACGGGCCCGCCGGGCCTCCGAAATTCCGGAAAAAGCCCGACCCGGCCCGGCCCCGCTCGGCCCGGCCCCGCCCGGTCCGTTACAAGTATGGATTATTTAGTTCGACTCGCCCCGGTTTTTCCAGTAATAGTTCCCCTCGTCTAATTCGTTTTAACTTTGGAAACAAAAAAATTACAGCACTTTTGGAATTGTGTTAAAAAGCACATCCGGCTGGGAATACCTGGTCGGAAAAACCAAGGTTTTTATCAAGTACGCAAAAAATTATCAAAGTAATGCTTAAATGTTATTCTGTGATAAAACAATTTCACTTACAGATGTGATCTGCGTCGCGGGGCCATTCCCATCAACGTCCGGAACTGGAAACGCTCCAAATTCTATAGACCTATGACAGCATCATCGGAAACCACACTACAATTGAATCAATCTCTTTATTTAGTTATTTATATTCAAAAACATCTGTTTAATTATTTTTTGCGCTTACAAGCCGAATTTTCTGTTCTTTCGAATTTTTCATTTATTCAATAATACAACTGTCGTTTGAGAAAAAAAAACTGTTTTTACTTCAGCGAGACGTTTTGACAGTATTCAGGTGCTATTTTCTGGAATTTGCCTAAAGGAGACGACGTTCAGCAGAGAACCTTCTCTTCTGAACGGATCCCTTTCGGCTAGAAAATTTGACAAGTTTTCCGGAATCAGTAAAAAATCACTTTAAACATCTCACTAATTGAATTCCATCGTATAAAATGTCTACAGCTCACAACAGTTCGAGAAAATCATTTACCAAAATTATAGACCGCGTAAAGGCATTAGTCCAAAACGGACAAGTACTAAGAGTTTATTCAGACACTCTAAATGTATTACATTCAACATAAGTCGTCGTTCTGAACCTATTCAGTTAGTCTATTTTTTTCTGCTTAGAAGTTTAGATTATTTGAAAAAAAAAACATATTTGTTGGGATAGATCAAGCTTCAAATAATAGAACATTTTCCCGAACATTTCTTGGAAAATTAAGCGACATGGTATTATTTTTAAATGTTTACTGTAGGTTTTCCTTTTTCTGCTTCATACTCGACGTAACGTTTTTAGTTTTCTGAAAAAGCTGTGGTGATAGTGCAGAATTTGAATCCAGAAAATTGGCAAACTTAACGAAAGATGTTCCATTCACAGCAGGAAGCTTGGAAAACATCTTGGACTTCTGCAAAACGTGAAAAGGCTTTCCACAAAATTCCGCAGAAAGATGGTATTAAAAATTTGATCATCTTTAACTATTGTCAAATCTAATTTTTTGATGTCGTTTGTTTTTTTTAAAGCCGCTCGGTTTTAATTTTTTGTGGGGCTCAAGATTTTTCTTTTACACAGATTTTCGATTAATTTTTTCCGTTTTTCCATTCATATTTTTCATTTGTTTTCCTTTTGTATCCTTTTTCTAAAAATTCCTACACCTCCAATAATTTCCAAGATCTTTCATCCAACTTTCCGTGAGTTATTGTTCTAATTAAGGAAATTTTGAAATTTCCTTCTCATTTTTATAGTGCAGAAATGATATTTTCTATTGTTTCTCCGTGGCTGGTTTTTTTTCTAAAGCCGAGTTTAGTTTCTTTTCATAATGACAAATTACGTGATATCTGTCAAACAGTAATTTTGCTGTACTTTTTATCGCTGTGTTCTATCTTTCAATTTCGTTTTTTTCTTCTCCCATTCTCATGAGGTTCGAACGATAAAACCAAGGCGACGATGTGGCAAACCGGATTCTTACAATCGAAGTTGTCATTTTCCGGTGTAATAATCACGAGAAGGTGATGAGATGGCATCTTTGTGGACCAATTGATGGATGGCGGAAACGATGTCTTTTTGAAAAGAAAATATGTCGACCCATAGTCTGTTAACGAATGAATTAATTCGGTGCAAACATAAAAAAAAAGAAATGCCAATAGAATAAGAAGGGGCAGCCGATGTGACCTCCGGTAAACAGACTGAGCAATAACTTGTGCGGAAACTGATAAAATTCAAATCTCCGATAAGATTTTGAAACAATCTTAAGGTCAACCATAAATATTTTCTCAAAGTTTTCTCACCTGAAGAACTTAGAATTTCTAGCCGTGTTTTGAGTTAGCAGCATATTTTCACAATTCAACCAATGAAGTTAGACAGTAGCCAAATCTTAGAATAGTATTCACTCAATGTTTTTATTAAGGCGGCATTCAGCACTTTCTGAGTCACCTGAAAAGAAGGTTTAATATTTGTTGGAAGGTTAGAGGGACCCCCTTCGAACTCGGTACTCTGTTTATTGCATTAACATTGGCAATCGTTTTAGTTGTTTATTTTACTCTCATGGTTCCTACAACTTTGCAAAGTTTATGTTTTCGTATCGAGTTTCAATAGCTTTGTTTTAATACCATCACGATGATTACTATTTACGATCTCTCACAAAAAACTCTACAAAAATGTCTTCAAAAATACTCTCTAATAGAGTTGTAAAATGCTGAAACTCAGTGCCGAATAAAGTTTTCCCGTTTAAGCTTTCGACATTGACATTTAAATACATACTGTCAAACTGTGATCTAAATCATTTTCTTGTTTTGAATTGCAATAAATACTAACAACCCGTTTTCCCGCTTCCCCCGTTATTTTCATCCAACCCTTTGTTGAATTGTAATACCAATTATTCTAATCTTCCCGTGTCAGAAGTATCATACCCTTCGGTGAATAAATAAATAAATAAATAAATACCAGACCTCAATTTTTGTGCTTTCATTTGGCCCAGATCTGTGAGTTTTTATTTTTATTCTGAACTCAAATTAAATAAGTTTTACTAAGCTTTAATCTAGGCCGACTCGTGTGGTTAGATGTCTTTTTTGTTTATTGTTTTTAATTAACTCCAGAAGCAGGCAGATTGCCTCCACCAGCTGTCTTGTACCCAATTTCTTCCAAACAACGGCATATGTCCTCTCCTCAGTCGTCTCGGAACCAAACCCGATCAACCCGACACAAAGTAATTTGCGGAGGAGAGACATCCGCACGGAACACTCGCCTCCTGCCTCGATGCTGGGGGCCTTCCATTCATTCTATTCTGTCATTATGAGGTTTCCCTCTTCTCGTCTGATTCTCTTTGCGTTCATTTCTCTCTTTTTCTCAATGTTAGGCCTTGGTCAATAGTGGTGGTTTGAAGAGGAAAAGACGCGAGAGATGGTGGCAGAAGGGAGACCTCCGACAGAGGGACAAGAATAGTGAACAGGCCACGAAGAAACGTTAGACAAGACAGAGGGACTTTTTGGTCGGAGGTTCTGACAGCGTAGTTGTCGGCACAACTACAAGTTCCACAGACGTTGGATCAGAGAAAACAAAGCTTTAATTTGATACAAAATGGCTAAGGATCGGTGCCCAATTACAATTTTACAATTTTTGGAATTTTTTTTCATTAATTTTTTCGAAATTTTCGTAAATAGTCAACAATTTTTTAATAGAATTTTCTTAGTTTTTAAGAGGTATTAATAGGTATGAACAAAACGTTTATCAGTTTCTAATTCCCATTATTTGTTTTCCCAATCAGTAACCTACCCATCAGTTCTTTCTTTTTCATGCCTGTTTCGCCACCCCTCTTTACTTTTTTTTTCATAATCACCGATTTATCAATATAATTTCTTCATTAAATGTGTTTTATTCCAGGTTAACTAAGCCTTCAAATGAATGGAAGTTTGTCGCGTGGCCCAGCGCCGCGAACGGCAACAATTACCAATCATGATAGGAAACCCATACCTCCATCAATGTTTACGTTTCGGAAAACGACTCCAGCTGAAATGAAACAAGCCTCAACACCGAAAAGTTTATCACTTGTAAATAGAGGAGTTTTTACCAATCCGGAATATTTGAAACATACAGTAAGTTTTTCGTTGTGTGCTGAAGTTGTAAAGCGCTGACCTTGTAGGTTGGACGGTCTCTAAACCCTTTTTATGCAAAGGGAAAATCGAACAGAAAATTTGAAAAAAAAACATTTAACTAAAAAATATGAACACTTTTTTAAATTTTTGTGAAATCAGAACTCGTGTATAAGAAAATTAGCTGAAATCTCTATACACTTAAAGAATTCGAGAATCCAGTTCAGAAAAATGTATAATCATACAAAAAACTTTTCAGGTCCGACCACCTATACGACAGCAAGCCCCTCCGCCCGTGACAGTACCACCTATACGAAAAGAACCGATTCGTCAACAATATCAATTACCACGACCAATTTTATACGCACCAGCTACAGTATACCAGGAGGAGGATGAGGATGATGACGATGGACCACAATATGCGCTTCCTGCGGAACATCTTTTCCCTCACCCTCCTCCGGAAGAACCATTTCAAGCTGAACCGACTTCCACGCAATACGATGATCAGTTTTCTTCAACGTCGTCTCCTGTTTCAACTTCAGTTTCCACTGCGTACACTACTCCAATTTCTACACCAACAGTTAATCCCCAATTTTCGCAGGTTGATACTAGTACTCCTTCCAGCTATTCAAATACAAGTAAGCTGTTTTAAGGTGGCTGTCTCTTGAACCAACAATTCTCTTTTCAGGTTTTACCAATGAACCGGTTTTCAAAAAAGCGTATACGGTGTCCGATAATGTGCCGAGTAGTTCAACAGACGTTGCACATAACTCAGGTATCGAAAATAATTCATTCATAAAATTAGAGCATGAAATAATTTTACTTCCAGCTTCCGGAAACAGCCAAGAAGCAGATAACTCTAACACGATAGAACTCCCAACAAATTGCAAAGTAAGTTTTTTTCTTTTTAGAAAGTTAGACATGAAGAAATACATTTTCAAAGTTTTCAGCATAAATAAATCCTTTGTTAAGTAGAACTTGTGGGACCAATGTTATCAAAAAACCCGCAAAACGGTTCCTGCTCTCCTTGAATCATATCTCTTGGGCCTTAACACAATTAAAACAAAAACCATGAGTCATCACAACCTAATTTTGCAGTTGTTCCAATACCAATGGGTTGTGGATGGCATTCCTCGTACGCTACTCGTCCCAATGCCAATAAATGCCACGGAACAGGATGTCAGGGTAATATCTTTCCTACTACTCACAGCTTCCAAATATAATATTTCTAGGAAATGCTCCCAACTACATTAAACGTTGACCCAGAAGAACTAGCGAGAACATTCAGAGCAGATACATCAAAGGCTGAAATCACAACTTTGTCTCTTCGTAAGCATTAACACTATTCACAAAAGGTTTCATGGAACTATTTTCAGCTGGTGGTGGTATGCCAACCATCGAGACCGCGGATGATGATGAGCAACAAGAAGAATATGTATCCGAATTCGACGAATCAGTCGACTACGACGATGAAGCTGATGAATATAGTCCTATTCTTGTCAATCCAAAACAGTACCATCGGATTGTGAGAAGAAGAGAAATGAGGCAAAGACTGGAAGCATCGGGAAGATTGCCACTTTCACGACAGAAGTATCTTCATGAGAGTCGCCATCGACATGCTTTGAACCGGAAGCGAGGAATTGATGGAAGATTTGATAATGCTCTCAGTAAGTGTTTGATTTCAAATCTGACTTCATCGGCTAGTAAAAAATGAATTAATAAAAGAGCGTTCACGTGAGCGGATTTGTACAAACGAACCTAGCCTGTTTTTTTGTGTGTTCTCGCAAAACGTCGCGTTCCCATGCGGGTCCGTCGCGTTCCACTCCAAATGCCAGTTCAAGGCCAACAATGATCGATTTGTACACCTGGGGTCACAAACATACAAAGAGGGAATTCATAACACGGGGTGAGAAAGAGACTATGCTCAAACATTCGTTTTTACAAACGACGGTGACCCTATCTGTGAGAGGTGTATTGTCGGTAGTTATACTTCGTACGTTCGATCTGCTTTCTGGGCAGAAATCGTTTGTAATACGAATTAGAACGCATTAACTAATGAACTAGATTTTCATGGTGAGGGGAATGAGTGATTTCTTAATTGGAGGTGCGCGTGTTTGTGAAACATGCGTGTGAGAACAAATTTGTTATTGTTGTTGTACATATTCGTATGAGAGAACACCGAAGCGGGATGGGAGCCAAGAAAGAGAGAAAGCCCAAAACAATAAGAGTAGCTACGTTTGGCTAATGAGTTTGAATGATAGAAAAGGATCAACTTTAAAAATCAGAATTTAAGAGAAAAAAAATTTTAAATTAAGGCAAGTCCTTCCAGTGAAGTTAGAAATAGTATCAACCAGAGATTTTATCTCCTTAAAAATTTTTTCATCACCCTATTTATAATGAATTTCAAAATCTTCATGCAAAAATATAAAAACAAGCCCATCTTAATGTTATGCTGGAATTCTTTTGGCTTCATTACAAATTTAATTTTATCGAATCTGCAGAAAATCGAAAAAAAGTGGAAACAAATATTTTGCAATTAGAATACGGTAATCTGAAAAATCGAACGGGAAAAATTTCAGACTGGGAAAAATTTCAGATTTGAACAAATCTGAATCCGGCGCAAAAAAAATGATTTTTAAAAACTGAAAACACAGAAATATCCGACAGCACATGTTTAAAGATTTTATAGTTTTGTGAGTGAAAATTCAATCTTACAATTTGATACCGTGTTGCATTTTGATTAGAAAAACTCGGCATTCGTGAATTTTTAGAGCAACGTTCATGAAGATTTCATTTTTTGTTTTTCACCTCCGCGAATAAAACATGTCTGGCATCGCTGAATACGCTGCAAAAAAAACAAAAAACACCAACATTCACATTTTTCAGTGGCTGGTCGAGGTGGAGAAGACGACGACGACGATGAAGATGACGACGAAGTGAGTACAACTAGTCACATACGCCCGATCGATCGACGATTGCTTCCAAAGTTGGCTCCAATTGCTGCTGGACCTGGAGGAATGGCGCCTGTGTAAGTTTTTGATCGAATTTTCTGAAAATAACTCATAGATTAGAGAATGAGTCCGTGATCATTCAAAACATCTCAACTTCTGAAAATCTCAATTTGAAAAAACCATCAGATTGGTCGAAGTGGTTGAAAATTTTCTCAGAAGAGTAAGGGGCTACAAAAAACCATACTCACTCAGGTGTAGTGTTTCCATTCGACCCGATTTTCGAAAAAATTCTCAAAAAATTCCGCTGAAAATTTTTCGAAGAAATTCTAGAGAAAAATATGAACACAAAAGCCGAGTGGATCTTGTGTTGATTCATTACCTCACAGTCGGAACAATTTGAACCTGGAATTTTATTTTTGCCGCTTTGAAGATCAAAAGAAGCGGTCGCTATCAGATTTTTAGGTGTCAGTTACTCAATTTGACAAGAAAAAGATGGAAAAAATGTTGGAAACCAAAATTCCGCATTGTGACTTTTTTCCAAAAATTTCGAAACTTATTCTTCAAGAAATTTCTTGAAAATATTTTCTGATAAGGTTTTTTTTATTTTTGCTCGATTTTTTTTGACAATTTATCGAAAAAGCGGCGTTTTCGAATTTTTTTTTACAAAGACCTTCTGCTCAGGTGTGAAAATTTTCAAAAAAATCAGTTAAACAGTTTTAATAGCTAACTCTCAATGATTACCATTTTTCAGATACAAATGCAATGACTACACAATCCGAAGTGTTCCAACCACTAGTGCCAATATGCAGAACACCGTTCAAATGATTCACAATGGCGGTCAAACAACAACAACTCATCAAATCATCCACCACGACTCTCACAATCAAACAATGATGATGGATCCAAACATTCCATCGACATCTACTGGTATTTACGAAACACAAATGATCGATCATCAACAAAACTACATGAATGCTCCGATGAACTCGTACGATGACTACACCCACCATGAACAATATGAAGCTGATACACTTCACTATCAGGACAATACAGAAGTCGGTGTGGATCTTACTGGTGCTGATGGACAAAGCTTCACAAATTTATAATTTTTGTAAAATTCTTATCTAGTACGATACCAATTTTTAAGTATTTGACTTAAACCCAGACTTTCCTTGCGAATAGAAAATTTTTCTTTCAAAGCTTAGAGAGATCAATATCAAAATTGAAATTTTTATTTTTCTAACCATGGCCAGAAACTTGGATGATTGGTATCACACTATTACAAACTTTACAATACACAACAATAATTTTTTTCTATGGCACCCAAAATCTCATAATTACTCAAACATATACATATATTGCACTCAAATTGTCATGTTATCATTTTTCCCGAAATCACCTAATTTTTTCGGTCATCTGCACTTACCCCATACTATCTTTCACTTTTCTCTCGAAAATTTTTTAACGTGGCTCTTCCAGTTTTACTTTAAAAAAAATGGTTTCCTGTATTTACCTTTTTGCAATTATCATGAGCACTAAAATCAAATCCAACTCGTTTAACTGGCATTGTTCCCATCAAAAAATCAATAAAAGTTGTAGACCTCAGAGCTTAGTTAAGAGAGATAAAATCAGAGAATTATTCAGAACATTTCTGGGTTTTCTGGAACACTAAACATAATTTGCAAACGAAATTACCAGAAAAACTGAGAAAAACGAAGCTAAATGGAAAATGGAAAAGGAGGTAAATGATGAGGGAGAGTTGACTGACTAGTCAACCAATTCAATAAACAAATTTAGGTATATTGGCAAGCGTGTGCAACGCAAGCATAGTGAGTCAAGCAAGGCAAGTAGGAGAATATTTACCAGTGAGATGAAAAGACATATCATCTCATTTTGAGAGGTCTCCGCTGGTGTCACATTGCGGGCCTATTAACAAGAAGAAGACTCTGAGATTGAGTCTATTCAAATTTCTTCATGAGGTTTCTCTTAGATGCTCGAAAGGGATAGAATGAGACTTAAAATTAGAGGCCGTATTCATGAACATTTACTTTTGTAAATCATTTACCCTTCAAAAATCTACTGAAAAACGTGAAAATTGAAAAAAAAATCATTTGCTTTTTGGTAAATACTCCACTTTTCAGTAAATTGGGATACTACTTTAGTTGGATGTTTAGACCCAATTTTTGGAAAGTTCTCATTCCAAAAAAAGTTATGTATTGATAAAATAGTATTAGAAAAGCAATATTATCTAACTTTGAAGCCGAATGTTGTTGCTATCCAACTCAAAAACTACGATTTTCATACAAATGGCATGAACGAGGAAAGCTTGAATTTTAGAGTACTGTGTCAAAAAATTAGCACTTTTCAGTTTATAGTAATTGAGAAAATTTAGGTCGAATTCATTTTCCTAACTCAAAAACAGGAAAATGATTTACAGAAAGGTAAAATATTTTCAATACATTTCCACGCTTCCATTTACCTTTTAATTTTAATTTAATTTGTTTATTGATCAGGTGTAATAAAACATTAGAGGGCAGGACATGAAAGACTCAGAAAAAATGCCCCTCACGAGGCCGATCTGAGTAGGGGAGGGGAAACGGGATAATTTAGATATTTGACACAGGAAAGATGTAATCGGTAGAAAAGGAAAAATAAAGAGCGAATATATCAATAACGGGTAATACTGGAAGAAATTAAGGATTCAAACTCGGAAGGTAGGAGAAATCGGGTAACTTGGGAAGTGATGGCGTTCCACAGGGGAACAATTGAAGAAAAATAGTCAGAGGAGTAGGGCTGAACAATAATTAAGTTCATAGGGCGACGAGGGGAGGAGGAATATTTGACATGTGCATTAAGGTTAGGAAAGTAGGCGGAGTCATTTAAAAATTTATAGAGAAGAATTAGTTGAGCTTTTAGCCTTCGATGTCGAATGGAGAACATATTGAGGATAGAGAGACGATCAGAATAGGAACTGTACTGGAAATTACAACGCTGGCAAATACACTTAGAGAAAATCTTAAGGGAGATTCTAGTTTTAGAGCAAGGCGAGAAGAAGGCGGAGGGGAATAAACTACAGAAAAATATTCAAGAATCGGGAGAACATAACATTTGAAAAGATGAATCTAGAATTCTGGAGGCTTAGATCTAAATGACTTTAAGAGTTGTTTGGAACGGAGAAGAGCTAAAGAAGTGATTTTGTTGATGTGAGCAGAGAATTTGAGAGAGGAATCAGTAATGAGTCCCAAGTCCCGGACGGAGGAGGAGGGAGTAAGTGTGACTGACACCCGCAATATTGAGAGGATGTGAAGAATTATGGGAACCTAAGCGAAGAAGGGCAGTTTTAGAGTGGGCAAGAGGGAGATGGTTGGCGGTAGCTCAATTTACAACCATGTTGATACCAGTTTGAAGGGCGATTGGGTCATGAGAATACAATTTGATATCATCAGCAAAGGCGGCAAGGTGAAGAGAGGGGATTTGTTCAAGTTCTAAGAGCAGATCATTGATGAATATGAGAAATAGTAAGGGACCGGAGACTGATCCTTGAGGAACACCAGAGGGAATGACAGAGGCAGGGGTCCAATAAAATCATAGATTTTGACAGAGAACGTTCGACCAGAGAGAAACGAGAAGAACCAAGCTACGTAAGATTTAGGGACTCCAAAGCTAGCAAGTTTCTGGATGAGAAGTTGATGATGTACCTGGTCGAAAGCTTTGCGGAAATCGAAAAAGACGACGTCTAGTGTATTGTATTTCAAAAGAGTAGCTTTATAATTCGAAAAAGATTGAACAGGATGAGGTGGTGCAGGATGAGGTGGTGCAGGATGGCTTTTGGTAAATTTTTCAGTTGATTTTTTAAGAGTAAATGATTTACAAAAGTAAATTTCATGAATACGGCCTCAGAGTAATAGTGGTATGAGATAAATTAAAGCAATTTTATAACAAAAAAAAACTCTATTTGGAAAAGAACAACTCTAAAATCCGGAACATGGAATCCAAAATTCTGACATCTCAAGTCGTGAAAAATTCTTAATAACACATTTGATAATTTATTTTTGTATAGTTTTCAGCGGAAATTGAAAAAAACCCTTTTCGTGACAGCGAATTATTGCAAATGAACACACATATTGAAAATTAGAAGTATCCTTTTTTCTCTCAAAATTCGGATTTTGATGTGACGAGACTTGTCGAAGAAGTGCATTTTTAATAAACTTGATGTTAGCCTTAACTTTAAAAAATTTGCTCTGGAAAATAGAAAAAAAAAACAAAATTGATATTTATTGAGGCATCTCTAAATCCATACGATCGAAATCCATAAATACTCAGCTGCGACTGTCGTCATTTGGACGAACCCAAGGCGAAGGTAGAATCTAAGGCAAACCCTGTCAGCTTTGGCTTTTGCTACCTTTTGAGCGCCGTTTGAGCACCTTCTGGAAAAATCCCTAGCGGAATCTGGCCAACCTGCGCCCAAAAGACAACAGTCGCAGCCGAGTACCCTGCCAGCCAAAATTTCATACTTTGCTGCAATAGAACGCCATCTTATACTTCCCTCACCTTAAGCTCCACTATCTTAATTTTTGAAGCAAGCATCAAAATGCGTCTGCTGATAAAATTTTTGTATATAACCATAACTTTTATAAGTTGCACGTTCTTGATTCGTTTGGCCAGTCGTCAGTAATTTTTAAAAATCTGATCGATTTGCACATTTTCTCTTTCGACGCCCTGTGCATTCCATAACTAAACGATTAATATTGAAACGTAATGTTTGGAACCCTCCGAGTGTATTAAAGTGTATTTTGAGAATCGACATCAGAGATGTTTCGAGAGATATCCTCGATGAACCCTGAAGAATGAGAGAAGAACAGTTGGTGGTTTTTTTATCACACAAGTATTGAAACTGGCGTCCTTTCAAAAACCCAATATCTCTCACTACTCCCGTATCTCTCAATGAAAAATACCTCATTCAATTATTTCACTGGTCTCGCCCAAGAAACATTTGTTCCATCTTTATCATTTTCAATGGGGTACTTTAGATTGTTGCTTCACATATATACTTATTTCTCATAACAATGACTTTTTTTCCCGAGATGAATGTCTCTTCCTCGTTTCCATCAGCAACCGCTACGCGTTCTAATCGTCATTCAATTGTTCTCTTCTTAGAAATATATACGCAAACCGAAGCTGCTCCAGCTTTATATATATTCAATAATTATTCGCATGTGCAATATTCCCAATCTGTCGCTGTTGAGCATTTAATATACGCCTACTGTATATAACTGTTTTTAGTAACTTGTTTTGTTCAACGTTTACTACAAATGAAATTTTCAGGTTCAGCGAGTATTTTTTCTGAATCCTTCAAACAAGTGGGTCTTTCTGTTATCGCTTTAGTAGCATTCGAGTTCGATCAGTCTAATGGTTAACGAGAAGGTGAGCTTATAACTTGTATTTTTTATCCAGACACATGTAATCAAGTATAACTGTGCTTCTTTAAATAACCACAAAAACTGTCGGAAAAATAAACGTAAACGAACTTTTAGAGCCTTCTGAATTTTTAAAGCCTATGAAATAATGTTTTGTCTTTGAAAATTCTGAAATTCTGACACCTGAGGGATAAATTTATTTTTGGGTCGCTGAGATTGACACGGGTTATTTACAGTGAGATAATTGCTTTCTGGGAAGAATGGCTTCTTAACGTTGGGTCGTTGTGGAGGCAACGGGGTCCCCACCACTAACGGCAACAAAACGCCCTTACCAGCAGATACATATCGTATTGACCACAGGAACCGTCAACTTCGAGCTCTATTATCTCGATTTCTGTGAAAAATAAAAAAAAACCGTAGACTAATAAAATGTTCATGATAATACCACTAATATTTTATCAAAAGACAAATGTTTGGTATCTTCCACAAAAATTACCGTAAACACTTAAATATAACCGTCAACTTAGAGGTAACAAAGGTTTGTTAATTGATAAAATGTTGGTGATATTAACAAATAACTTATCAGTTGATAAATGTTTGATATTATTCACAGAAACCAAGATACATTGTTTTAAAGTGGACGATTTGAGCCGGCTTCTATTTGGGAGAATACTGTAGTCCAATAGCAGAAGACATAAATTTGAAGTAACTATTGAAATTCATGTTTTCGCTTTTTTTTAAATGTTGTCTATTATTTAGAGAAAGCGAACCAACTCAAACGGCAATGACAATCGCTCTCGCCCACGTAGACACACTTCAAAAATCGTTCGTCTAGACACATCGTGCCCAACTCAGAAGTTAGCAAAGAATAAGAAAAAGAGTGCAGCCCAAAAAACAAAATTGCCCAGAGAAGTATGGCCTGTAAGTGACGACATTTTGTAACCTCTAACTACATTTTTATATCTCAAATAGATTGACAAAATTCTGGCAATGAAGGTAGAAGACGGAAATTTCTATTTTGACGTTTTATGGGAAACTGGAGAAACCACAGTTGAGCCAATGTCCAGTTTAAGAAAACTGTCTCATGTCAAACTACAGGAATTCTATCAAACAAATGAGAGCATCGCCAAAGAATGTTTCTTTGAAAGTATGTTAAGTTCTGAATTTTCCGTTTATTTTTTTTTCATTCTAGAATACTGCTGGCGTAAAGGACATCATGAAGGAAAGGCAGAAAATGGTAAGAAAAATCTTCAAAACGGAAAACGGAGAAAAAACCAGGCTTACGAGGAACACTTCGTGAGTGACACAATGTCGTAGTTCATAATCTTCTGTCTATCAACCAGGTTGACAAAGTGATTGAAATGAAGGTAGAAAACGGTAAATACTGGTTCACAACCTTGTGGGGAGCTGGTGACGTTACCGTTGAGCCACTTTGGAGTTTCGGTCAGCTTACTCACATCAAACTACAAGAATTTTATCGCGCCAATCCAGAAATTGCCAAGGAGTGTTTTTTGAAAAGTCTGTTAAGTTAGAACTTCTTAAACAATATTTCATCAATTGCAGAAAATGCTTCGAATAGAGAAGAAGAGTTAGGAAACCTACGAGGACAAGAGCAATCCGACGGAGATGACGAACACCAAGTGATGGTCGAGCAACCTATTGTGGAAGAAAACCTCCTAACAAAGGAAATCAAAGTTGAGCTAGATCCAAATGATATTCATATGAACGAACCAACCGAAAACAGGGGTAATCTTGACTTATTATCGCTCACTTGATGCATTCTGAATTTTCAGACAATGAAAATGCTGCAGTACCACTTCAGACGGCACACAGTGTGACCGCAGCGGGAACATACAAAGTCAGACCTGCAAGTGCTCCTCCGAGTTTTAGAGGAGAATCCAAGGCATCAGGCCTTCAAGAATTTCAGGTAAAAAAGAAGTATAGTGAGTTCATCAATCATAATGCACGATGACATAACTGGTTTTGCAGCTCATAGAATCGAGGAAATTTTGAGATACGAGAAGAAACCAGCCCCAAAGGTGGAAATCACAATGGATGTTTGGAATGCTATTCTGAACGATGCCCGGTTTGAAGTTCCGTTTGAAATCGAACCTGATAGCGATAGTGAAGATGAAATCGAATCGGATGAAGAAGATGATGTTGACAGCGATTCTGACTATGATGGTAGGTTAAAATCTAACACGAGAAAGTTCAGTATCATCCATTTCAGAAGATGCATTTGTTGATATTATGACTTTGGATGGAGTACCAACTGTAGCAGATTTATCTGGTCAACTTCCAAGTAATGATCAAGTGTTGAGAGCATTTTCTAAGATCTTGAACATTACAGCTCAATGAATCTGATCATCGTTGGTAACACGCTTCTGGATGTCATCATCATTAACCGCTTCCCTCTACCAGAACACCACCCCAGCATTACACTTTGTGCTCAATTATCTCGGTTCATATAGCCGATATTGAAAAATTTGTCAACTGGTAAAATGTTTGTCATTATATCAAAATCATTTTATCAGTTGACTAATTTTTGATATCGCTCAAAGCAACCGAGATAATTAAGCTCGAAGTGAAGGGGTGGCGTTCTGCATAGCATCTGCAAGCATTTTATCCTTGTTTTAATTTTTCATTGCCTATGTTTTTGTGTGTTTCCTAACTTTTTTTCTATTTTTAATACGATTCAAAAGCCCCGAATTTTTGTTTAGCTTTTCATGATTTTTTGAAGGGATATGGTATTACATAACTCATTATTTTTTTGATAAATTGTTATGACAAATCTCTTTTTTTTTAATGAATGAATGTTTCGAAAACAAATGAAAACAATTTCAGTGACTCATATAAATACTGTCATATGCATATTGTCTCCTCCCACTTTTATCTTCTTTTGTTTTCCCTGTTTCTCTATCTTTCGAAATCCGAAAAGCAGCAATCTGGAAAAAATTGAGCTATTCCTGTCATTTGGACTTTCTAGAATGCGAATTTTACTTGTATTTTCTGTTGTCTTTGTTGCTCTCGTTGCTATTCTCGCTACGAACATCTTCGGTAAACGCGACTATCTGCAAGAAGGCAGTATGGATTCTGAGACTTCGAAAGAGATGACGTTCAAACTTGTAAAATCCAAGGAATCAGCCCAAGAAACCAAAAGAACCCCGTAAGTTATCCCAAGCGCTATTACTTGAAATTTTGACTAGGTATCTCCGGAAGGACCTTCTATTACAGGAGCCCTTCAATAAGAGAGGGCCACTTCTATTTTTCAGTTTTTTCCAAAAATTTTAATCAGAAAATTGGTGAATTCTCGCTCAAAATTTATTGAAATCTGTAAATATCACCAAAATTTTCAAAATTTTGAAAGCGTCCCTTCTATTACAGGCTATCTTCTTTGTTTCCAAGCCTGACTAGGGGGGGGGGGGACCTTTTATCACAAGGGCGTTCCTAATACAGATTTTGCGGTATATGCTTCTTTTTTCAGAAAAAATTGCGGTGATCTAGACATTATCAATATCGTTTTCGCTAGTTTGGCCTTCAGTATCCTTGTCCCACTTGCTCTCCGTCGCTACGTGAAAAAGAACAAGAACGAGAAGTTTATCGCTGACGGATGTTGTGTTCTGAAGACCAGCACGGGGACATATGTTCTTCTGGATTTCACCGGGGAAGACCACAACAACTATACTAGCGAGGAACTTCAAGAGATTGCCCACGAAATCCGCCAGACTCTTGACTAAACTGCAATTTCCCTTTTTTTCATTATTCCGACTGATACTATCCCGATATGTTCGTCAAGTCTGTCTTTTTTGTGTTATTTTCCCATTCATCACCCCAGTTTCATTTTCATATCTCCCTCGCTTTTTCATTTCTCCTTTTATTCGAAATTTTGATTCCAGGAATTTTTGAAAAACAGTTCTAGTGACTCATTCAGCAGGCTCCTCCCACTTTCATCATTCACTTTTTTCTCTGAATCTTTCTCTCTTGCAATGCAAAACAAAAACATTCTGAAATAAAATTATTGGTCATTCGGGTCAGTCTACTGGTGAAATCATAACCTATAACATCATGCGGATTCTCCATCTACTGACACTTGTCGGAGCTGTTATCCTAATGATCCAAGGAGTCTCTGTGGGCGCCGACACTTTGGAAAACGTTCTCAAGAATGCTGATTATGTCAAGATCGTCATTTCTGTGGAGAATCAGGAAAAAGCGTCTGGGATCGACACAACCGCCGAGTAAGTATTTTTCTTCTTACAGTAAACTCATAGCCAGATAGAAAGTCATTCAAAACCTCAACAAGTTATCTTTCAGCAAAACCTGTCAAACCAGCAGGATCTTCAAAATCGCCGTCGGGGCAATCAGCACCTTCCTCTTTTCTCCATTCTCATTCTGGATCCTCAACTGGAAAAACGAGAAGAAGATCACGGAATCCATCGACAATGTCGACTATGAAGTTCTCGAAATCGATGGCACCAAGTATGTCGTTGTAAAAACTGCGGACGATGACGACGAGTTTCCACACGGTAACCATCAAGAGTTGGGAGAATCCTTCCTTTGAATTTGTCAGTTTCATCTTTTTCTGTTTTCTTGTCATTTTTCTTTTCTAATTTTTTCCCTAATCATTTGATGTTCTTTCAAAAAAATTCGTGAAATATTCAATAATTTCTTCAGTTGGCCCAATTGACCAATAAATGCTTTTTTCCCATAAAATAAGACAGATTTGAGCTGACGTTAAGAGATTTCCACTGTCCGAGGGAGTCGATTGTGTTTCTAGAGCCGTAATTCTCAAGATCTTATTCGAAATACAAGCAGAAGGCCATCTCCATCGTTTCAATCATCCCAAAATTCCACCCGTCTTCATCTGAAATAATGAAATCCAAAGACTCACCAACTTTACTATTCCCGACAGTCCATGTTGTCATTTCTCTTCCGCATCACCATACCATTCAACGTATATTAGATTCAAGGTGTTCAGTACGGCACATGTGCAACTCCTTCTGTTTTTTTTCTTTTTTTCAGTATTTATTTAGATTTACAGCCAGCGATTCTGCAATTTTCAGAAAGAATCGTTCAAATTCACTCTGAAGATGTTCTCCTTCGTCTGATCTTTAAAAACGCACAGATTCCCGTTGGCACAGATGACCGGCCGCGGCGAGAAGATAGTTGGCAGAAAACACCATCTGTGGCAGGAAGACCTTTGATAGAGAGGACCATCAGGGGCCAAAAAAATGTTGGCAGAGAGCACAGCCCGTATTTTTGACAACGAGTGCAACAATAACCACTGCACGACATTGGATTTTATGCTGAAAAATCTTTGCGGACAAGTATTATGAGTTTTTCGTTGTGCTAACCGTAGTTCCAGTCACAATATTCAATTTCGTTGACTGATTCGGTCCATTTTCGTGAATCAATCGTTCTCACTTGTTTCTGGGTTTCATGACGCATGGGACGCTCTGAAAATGCAATTATTGTGTTCAAAAGGTAGATAGTCGAAGTGAGATCATAATTGATTGCAATTGTTAACAAAATTTTGGGAGTTTTCAGGGGAGAAACGTCTAAATTAGATTAATTTTTAATCGAGGAAAGGTAGTGGAGAGCAAACGTGCTCTGCTGAACAGAAGTTTTTGAATGAAGATAACTGAGATGAATTAGAATATATTTTTCCTTTTCATGAATTCTGAAAGCAGAAAAATTGTGAAAAAGCTCACCATTAAACAGAACTATTGAAGGATTTTTCCCAGGAATCGAGGTCAGAGGATCCGTTAGAAGACCGTTGGTTGAGAGGGCCGTCCGTGGCTATAAGATCGTTGGTAGAAAGCACCGTCCGTGAAAAGAAGACGATTGGTAGAGAGGATCGTTTGTGCCGAAAAGATCGATGGAGAAAGGCAATGTCCGTGGTAAGAAGACCGTTGGTTGGCAAAGAACATAGTTCGTGGAAAGAGAACCGTTGGCAGGCAGAACAGTCCATGGCAAGAAGATCGTTGGCAGAGGACACAGTCAATGGCAAAAGGACCCTTCGTGTACATCATTCATCGATCGATACATACAGGAGGGAAGGCCACTGTTGCACTGAGACGCTGTAAACCAACAGCACACGTCGGCTATCTGAGACCTGCCTGATCAACAGATGGTGTCACCTAAAATGAGAAAATCGTTTTGAACAAAAAGATAAGAATAGTCTTGGATAAAAATATAACTATCGAAAGAACGATCCAAAAAAAACCATCACACAAACAGTTTTCTCGAGTAGATTTATTGAAAAAGTGCTTTGAAAACTTGTAACAAATGCTTCAGAAAATTATATTCAGAAAAATAGAGAGAAAAAATGAGATGCAAATGACAAGTTGAGAATAAGGGGGGGGGGCATGGGTTTTAGGGAAGAAAAAAAGTGATATGCATAGATTTCATATCGAAACAGGTAGTGGCATACATAATTAGTTTCTGGAGGTCGGCTTCTAAATAGATGGTACGGTTGCGTCGGACGATGAAATCTGAAAATAGCAAAATGAAGAGTACAGTTGAATTTTT